GTAGAGGAAAGGATGCAAATATGGGCTACCCATTTTATTTTTGCTTATAAAAAAAAAATAAACATTCTATTTTAATTCCAAAGGTACCTAAGGATAACTATATTAATTAGTTACAACATATCCTAAGTGCAGATTGATTAAAGAAAAATAAATATTCACTAATGCGAAAATAATGAAAAATTGAATTTTTGCGACTTTTGAATAATGGTCCTAAATATGGGCTACCCCGAAAAATGCGTAATAAATGTGTGAAAAAAAGAGATTTTTATTTTTTTTTTATTTAGGAAAACATTACTTACAAAAATCACAAACATACTCGTCTGTTTCGGCCCCAGCGCACTCGTTATGGGCCCACAAATTGCACATGAGGCACTTGATCCATATCTCACCCTGGTTATCATCTGCAAAAGGTGCTTCGCAAAACATACAGGTCACGTCAGCTGCGTCTTGTGGAGACTGGGTATTAGGAAACTCATTGTAATCACTATCATCATCTGCAGGCACATATTCCTCCTCTTCCTCGGTACTAGAATCAGATTCCTTCTTTTTGTTCTTTGTGGCTTTTGTAACTTGCTTATGTTTTCCTTTTTTTATTCCTTTTCCTTTTCTGTTTTCTTTGTCTTCTTCTGTACCTTTTTGTTTCCCTTTGACTTTGTTGAGCGACTGGATCAATTCATTTTTGTACGGTGAAGCGGTTATTACTGAACACTTTTAGCGTACCCATTTCATGCTGCCTGACAGCTATTATCGCACGTTCCATATCTTTTTCATCCCATTGTTTTCTTTTTTTCGCTTCTTTCAGCTCTTGTCTTGACATCCTGAAGTAATTCAAGTGCATTTTACATGTATCTAAATATGGGCCACTAGCCCATAATCAAAACCGAAGCATAGCCCATATTGCAAACATGCTCGCGCTACACAACAAACGAGGTTATTTTTAAAAGTTGTCAATTTGAAGAAAACTAATTAGCATACATCAAAGGCTGATTATAGGGCTTCAATGTGACGCAGACGTTTTTTTGACATTATTGTTTATTTTCAAGTACTAGAATTTATAAACTTACCCGAAAAAGTTTTGACACTCACAGTAACTGACAAACATTTATTATAAAGTGTGAAACATCTACCACTGTGGCGCCATCGCTACGGTGACAATTTTACTTCACCAATTACCGTTTGCAATAGTCAGATGAAGAAATCTGCATCGAATAGCTGAGAAACGTATCTAGCCCATATTACAAGACCAGCCCATATTTGCACCCTTTCCTCTATTAGTTAAACTTGTCGTTTCAATGCAGTGTCCCATCGGAAGTTATTTCAATAATTCCATCCGAAATTCCAAACCTCTGAAGGAAGGGGGCTGGAGTCCAACCACCACACAGTGACACACTCTGAATGTACCTAAAGGTTGTTTAAGAGGCTTTCTAGGATTTCCTGAAGCCCAGATGCAGCAATTTTTTTAATCTAACAGCATCTTGTTCAATGATGAAAAAATGTCGATACTGTAAATGTAAAGGTATAGTAAAAGTGAATTCGGTTTTTGAATGACCTGCACTGTATAAGGCTTTATAGCCAAATTTTTGCATAAAATAATGGTTGTGGATTACCCCGATTGCTATAAACGCCGTAGAATTCAGCTTAAGTAAAACTTTAACTAGCAATATTTTCAATTCAACGACCGGTAGAGAACACATTCACTTGATGTTATGTTGCGTACCGATCCTGCTGTTGACTCAAATTTATCCGCTAAATTTTTAATTACAGCCTGTGAGGTACGACCTGCACACAATTTTATGAAAAGTGTTTTTAACGGAAGTGTCTATTTTCGTAATGACTTTTTGAGAGTTCTCACGTCGTAAAAATAGTAGACCTGTCACTAAACTACTAAACAAAAAAAATCAAATAAAAGTCTATTGAAAATCAAGGTCCGTATTGAAAACCTTAGAACAGTTATAACAGTAAAATTTCCAGCAAGCATCCACTGGAACTCACCCAAAACAATGTAAATAAACTTAAGACACACACAAGATATCTAGGTACTTGATTTGTCGGTGACTCCATAGTAATTATCCAAATTGGCACATTATTAAGTTGACAACAATTTACGCTACGAATTGTACAAAAAGGTGCATACAAATTCTCCAAAAGCGTAATCTCTCAAAAGCGTGATCTTCAGTACGAGATGCTTTCAAATAATTATTAGCAACGGAGTTCAGCTCCCAATTTGACATGAACTACAACCCGCAAGGTCCTCTGCGATTAACACTTAGCAAGCAAGTTACATCATACATAAATCCATATCCCAACGTTTAAATCCTCATTCGGTACGGTACCATATAACAAAAACCCCTTCCCAAGATTACTTCAGGAACAAGAACCGCTACAAATAAACCTCACATGGAACATTGAAACAATCAGACACAAATTCGGAATAATCCTTACCTTTAGTAAGAAGCGGATGACTTAAAATAAATTAGCTAAACACGAGTTGTTGCAACTAACTCCGATAACTATATAAATTACCGCGTAACCCCAAAATGCACCATATAGATGTAGAAAAGGTCAATCTCGTGGCAATCGGCATCCAGACAAACTGATTTCTGCAAGTCAAACCAAACGGATATCCCAATTTTTAACCAATTTCCATCAAGCAACAACTTTCCAAGTGTCAATAAAATTACAAAGCCGACATTTCCTTCTACAGACCGGTCTCGAATCGTGTAAATTCCGAAGGCTCTCGAAGACAAAGCAAACCAATAATCACACTACGAGCAATACTAATACGTGACCAAAATCCCTACACTTCAAAATCACAACCAACCGTTACAACCTAAAACTCTCAATTTATTAACTTTTGTGCACAGTACTCTTTAAACTCAAACTCATATAAGTCCACTCAAATAACAAAGCGGAAACCGTACGTTATAAAAATATTTCACTCTAATTGTCAGTGAAATGCGCCGTTATATTCAAAAAGTAACATCTATATTAAATTTCTTGACTACTTTTAATCAAGGCAAGTGCATGATCGAATAGGAAATTTTAACTACAAATACACATATAAGTGCGCCATAGGTCCCGGAACGGTTAAATACCTCGGTTGTCCATTAACCTTTTTTTTTCAAAATTAGGGTAAAGTTGGAGTAAAACGCAAAGAATTCATTGGTCATATTGACAATTTTTTTCACCTCCGATTCCTTTAAATAGAACAACCTGTATATTTTACATAATTCTGGTTAGTAGGTATTTTAAACATATTTTTTTTGGGTATATTCAAAAATAAAAATTGTGAAGGACAAACCAGAAGTGAAGAAAAATTGTCATTATGACCAATAAGTTCTTTGCTTGTTTCTCTAGTGGTGCGCAACTGTTCTGGGACTTATGGCGCATGTATTTTTTAATACTTGTAAGCATAGACCGTTGGACAGTGTTGATTTTATCATTTTTTCCACTCAGGAATTGCACTTGGAACTAACTAACGTAATTTATGCACTCCCGCATATATGTTTACATTTAGTTGCATTTTTATTCGTTTGTCTCCCTGTTGGGATTATGAAAGTTACCTTCATTTGTCAGTACAGTACTGATATTGTAATTCTTAAAGACTATACTACTTAAAATATCAGACAACATTTTAATTACCCACGTTACCTAGGTAACTCCCTATATACTACATGTTTTTTCGGCTTCGTCGCGAAAAAAAGACCCCTCTTGTCGTTATCTCCAGTATTTAAGGACCTTACCTAAATTGAAAAAATTTAAAAAAAAACGATAAAATTAAATCGAAAAATTACGCATCTAACAAAATTTCTAAAAGGAAAAACAAATACGGAAATACAAATTCAAGTAAAAGAAACCAACCTTATTGAAGGTACCGAGATCAAAATGTGTTGAATTTTGCCTAAATTTTTTGTTTGTTCGGGAAGCGGAGGGTGGAAATAAATTGGTTTCGGTATGAAATGATCGAAGTGCCTTCCACTCCGCCCTCCTCAATGTTCGTCTGTTGCTCCTTGTTGGCGCTGAAGTGTTAATTCCGTATAAGATTTTCGGTGCTATGATCGTGTTGTAAATCATCATTTTCAAACTGTCCGGTATTTTCTTTTCTCGTAAGAAGATTCCGTGTGTGATTCTGAATGCGTTGTGCCTGCTGAGGGTGCTGCTTATGTAGATACATTGTACATACGTTCCCATATATTTGATTTTGGAAAAATATTTATTTCTGTATGAAGTAACCGAATCACAACAAATATTTTCACAGAAATAAATATCATACCCCTTGTTCTCCAGATTCTGTCTGAAAATTAGGAGATACACGCTGTCTGCAGAGTGTCTGTAATCTCTATTAAGAACTATACCTATCGAATAGTGAATATTGAAAGCGTTTTATTGCAATTGTTAGGAATAAAGTTAAGTTATCATCCATAAACGTATAAGATTAAAAGAGACAACTGCGTACTCTAAGAAAATGTAAACAAAAATCTCAATTTGGTCGTTACTTATGTATACAAATGAATTATTGGAACAAACACTTTACTTTCCCTCAGACTAGTTAAAGCAGAAACAAGCAGGTAGTACTGACTTCGTTTGAAATTTAAATTGGAAATCATGCAGCAGAAATAAAATTATTTGCAATTTGTATGAGTACTAATCACTGGAAATTAATTACATTAATTACATTACAATTACCTGCAAGCGTTTGGCAAGTGTCCAAGCTCCAAATTTAAATTTCAATAAATATGCACCTATAGCAATCCTTTAGATAAGAATCTTTGCAATCACTCGTAAATCACTCCAATGTATACAACCAAAAATTATGATATACTAAACCGACTATCAGTAAAATTTTATGTTAATGGGCGTCATTGTGCAATAAAATCAACAACTTCTAAAAGGTTTTCATTGAAGTTATACCAATTTTTATATAGCTTCTAAATTAATGTGTTATGATATAAATTTCTTGTTCCAATTTTATTACTTACGTGACACTTAAATAATAGTTTGACGTTTATTACGGCTACGTAAAGAAATATTGTATATCAGCGACAGTAAAAAAATCTCCTTAAACGAATTGTACGGTGCAATAAATTTTATTCCGTTTGAAGTAGTAAAAATGAAATGGTTTGCAATTTGCATGACATACAACATTTTACAACGAAACATCCACGAACGCTACATTAACTTCCTTACTTTTTGTTAAAGATTTAAAAAAAATTCATTTATTTTCTTCGTTTATGTCTAGATAACGTGCAACCGTGTTGGTGAGAATGCGTTACCGTACCTGCTTTGGTATTGAACGGTTTTATAAATTGCGGTAATATCATATTACGGTAGGTATATACAACTTGAACCAAATTCGGTCATTTGTCAGATAGGTAACAAGCTGTCTTCTTTCTTTAACTTTAACCCAACAGTAAATGCTCAACACTGTAACGTACGCTGCTTCTAGACACCATTAATTTAATTTTCCTACCTGAAGCTATACCGAATTCAGAATTGAATGGTTCCGATATTACTTATCGTTATGTGCGTGCATGCAAACCACCAATTGCTTATAAATAGTAGAAAATCTAACTTCCTTTTTTGATTAAATAAAAAACTTAAATAGGTTTAATATAAATACTACCTCGGCAAGTTAGGTTTAAAGCAGAGTTTAATATAATTCACCCAACATTTCTGGACTCTAATTTTGAACAATCCTATTATGTAACCCTTTCTATTATCCTATCTATAATATAACTACATTTAATCGAAAAAATCATTTCATTTGTAATATACTTCGGTGAGTGATCGACTAACCTCAGTGCCAGTCAGAATAGATTATATTGACAATCAGAATTAAAAATTCCTCTTTTACGTACAATGTTTCCTGAGGAATACTTTTATGTTTCGGATTACATTGTTTAAATAAGATAATAGTGCAACATGCTACACAAAATAGTGGCCATTTATACATGACGATGACTGTTAAGGTAATTTAATTTTTCGCTAGTTTAAACATGATTAAAATTGAAGGAGTGGGAGGGTTACATTAGACAACGCTTTCTTAAATTTAGCTCCACGAACGTTATTTACTAGAAGTACATAGTGAGGGGTAGAAGGCTAGTCAGGAATTCGATCGTCCAGTGGTTTTTGGACTTTATGTGTCTGTGCATAAGAAGTCATGATAAGAGCATTTCCATAACACGCTAGATGTAGAAGCTAAAGAGGCTATGCTACTTTCTTATTTTTTATGGGCGCCATGTTGGATTTTTACGAAATGAGATAGAAGACACTACTTTTACATAAATTTCAGTTCAGTTGAAGCTGGACTGCGGTACCAAGGGTACCTGGTTCAAATCCAGGATCGGGCATGGATATTTGTAAATGTATAGTAGGTTGGGTTGGTAAATAAATAAAATAAATAAATCAAACGTTTTACATTCATTTCTCAGCAAAACATCCACGGGTAACTAGAACACTCTGCATCAACATGGCTATGAAAATTATGTATTTTTTAAAACCTGATGCTACAGACTGCTTGTTGCATATAAAGGGGGCTGAAATAAAATTTTGACTTTTTAAGTGAACTTTTTATTATTTTTTTACGGAAGCTTTGTTGTTTTGTCCATGCCTCGAGAGAAAATAAGGTCCGTTGTAATAGTTTTTGGCTATATTTTTGGGTCATCTGTAGGTTCCTTTGGTTACCTCGTCTGCATATAGGCAGGCTTTCATTGGTGGCGGGATTTCTTGGACGATGGTGTTTATTGCCACATTGAAAAGTATCCTTGCGGTATGCCATTCATTCAATTGGTGATAATCTTACTAAATCTGTACTTTACTTTTTGGTGTTCGAGGAGGTTGTAGAAATCTTTGCGTGTTTCGAATAATTCTGCTACATCGTTAAAATGTTTTTTGCTGTTTCCATAGAGTTTCTGGAGGGCCCATTTCATCCATGAAGTTTTTAAATTGGTCATACGTCATGTTGTGTTGTTTTGCCTTATCTATTAGGTGTTGCATAATAGGTCTTAGCATTTCTTCGGTACTTACTTCTTTCGCTTGGTTTGTGGGAGGTTTTTTAAATTTTTTTGGTGGTTTTTTTAAAACTGTTCTGTGAGGATCGATTCTGGAATGTTAGTGTCGGTAGGATTTATGTATGTTTGTCCCCGGAAGCTTAGTATATGGCTGGATTGTCGTAGTGTCGGTCAAAGATGCTTTTACATACGTAATAGGCAATGCAAGTGCAAGATTCAATCCTTTTAGTGCATTTACCGTGTTAAGAATTGTTGTTATTTATCATTCATGCTTTGCTAAGGTTGTCTCATGTTTATTTTGACAAATCTTCGGCGGCGGGGACAAAAATTGCCATTTTCTGTACTGTGGTCAATTTATTCTCGTAAATTTTTTGATCATATCTATGACGACGTGTCCAACCTAATTTATTATTGACACATAGAAGCAATGCCCCGGAGGAACAGGATAAGACAACAAATTTGCGCAAGCGCGTGGATACCCACATTTGCGAGGTGCATTGGCGCTAGATGACGACCAGCAGATGTAGGAGGTCAGCAAGTCGTAGAGGGGTCCATGAAAATTGATTTTCTGTTGATGGTCTCCGGAGTTTCCCACGGGAAATGTAATTAGTGAGGTATCATCCACAATTCTCTCCAGTGTCGGAATGAGTCCGTTCCTCCTTTTTGAAGCTATAAATTGACGCTATCCACCAAGCATGTGGGATGGTCTTGAAATATTTAGTATAATTGTTTTTTTTTTCATTGTTCGAAGACGCTTTGGCTTATCGTAACCGTCAGAAGGTATCTTAGTATTTCTATAAAACATTAATACAAATAAAATAACGGAAACCCGTAAGCAGCCGATACTCCCATCATACATGATTCAAAAATAGATTAAATTCATGTTTTGATCATTGAGGTAATGTTCTTGGTCTTTTCCCAGCGATCTTGGGGCATAAATAACGCTTTTGACCTATTGTGATCAAAATTCATGTGGTTGCCAAAAATAGATCAAATTAATGTTTTGGTCATTGAGATAATGCTCATGGTTTTTTTCCCAAAGATCTTGGTGCATAAATAACGATTTTGATATATTTTAATCAAAATCCATGTGACCTCAAGAAAATAATTTAATATCTTTGAATCACACAGTCATGCGATTATCAAATGTAAGTACACGTGGTGTACTCTTTCAGCATCAACATAATGCGTTTGAAAACTTTTAAAACTCCAAATTTATGTGTAAAAAATAATTTTGGGTACATTTTGGTCTAAAACCTATACCACAGAGAAGAGTTATATTGAATGGTTACACATTTTAGAGTTATAGGCAATAATCTAGCGAAAGTCCGAACTCGATACATGACCTAGGGAATGAAATATGTTGATTTCTTTATAGTGAGCGCGCAGTTTTTCCTGTTCCCGATTCACTCAAAGTTGTATAACTTTTGTTTCTGTTGAGCCAGCTTCCTGAAAATCAATAGCGTCCGTCCTTAATGTCCAAAGTACCCGTACACCAAATTTCAACACAATCGGCCACATTTAAAAAAAGTTGTAGCGCACACGGACGGACGGACAACAATACAAAACTATAAATGATCTGAGGATTGAGCTTGATTTGCATTTCTATATATCTAATAATGGACTCGAAGCAGCTGGCGAGTATTGTCCCACCAGTACGTGCTCTCCTATAGTAATTTTGGTTTTGGTTAATAAAAATTTAGCGGGTTTGAGAGTTTGTTTGTCAATTTATAGTCCTTAATATGCTGGCCGTGGAGATCGCTCCGTTGAAATCAATAAATAGTTAAATACGGGAATTAATTTCGCTATTTCTAATCGTATACTGTTGTTTTGTTGTGAGTTGCTAGCAGTTACCTGAATTACAAAAGAATTTCTATTCGAGAAAAAACAAATTTAATCGACCTAAAAGATTTTTAGATGGCAGGGGATATTCAATGCGGACGCCAGAAGGATATCTGTGTGAAATCACCGTAATTGTCCAGAG